TTGTGAGTTTCTTGAAGTAGAGAAGTTGTTGTTATACCCATTTAAATCATAAAAAATTTAAAAATCATGGTTTTAAAATTCACACCATGATCACTTCGAATAGAGGAAATCATAAAACCCTTTTCATTTTGAACTAGTTTACAAAATTTTAAAAAAAATTAATGTAATCACTTTTATGTGCAAAGAAGTATGTCAAAGTATATATACTATAATCATCAACTATAATGAAAGCGTATTTATTACCTCCTAGACTTGTTATATCAATTGGTTCAAATAAATCCATATAAATTAATTATAATGGTCTAAAGGTGCTTATTTGATTTTTAGATTTAAAACTACTCTTTATTTGTTTACCTAGTTGGTATACATCATAAACTTTGTTTTTGACAAATTTAATGCTAGGCATTTCTCTCACAAGTTCTTTAGTTGTAATTTGTAATATTAGTTTCATGCTAGCTTGACCTAGTCTCCTATGCCAAAGTCATGGGTCATTATTTAAAATCAAAAGGCAAGTTTCATCACAAAACTCATCAAGGTTAATAGTATACACATTATTGGACAAGGCAATCAAAGATCTATTTTTGTGTGATATTTCTATAATGCAAACATTAAATTCAAATTTTATGTTATAACCCTTATCACACAATTGACTAATGCTTAGCTAGTTATGTTTAAACTATCTACTAATAAAACGTTTTCAATCAAAATGTTTGATTTGTTACTTATATTTCCTTTGGTAGCTTCTTCTTCATTTTAAGACATTCATTTTTTAAGTGCCCCAACTTCTTACATTCATAGCATATTATTGTGTCCTTTTTTAATTCATTTTTGTTCTTAATATCTTATTTTATTTTATTTTTTTTTAAGAATTTTTTAAATTTTCTTGTAAGAAGTGCAAGTCATCATCATCATCATCATCACCATCACTTGAGTTTTCTCCCAATTGGTCTTCTTTAGTTCTAAGTGGCATGTCCTTCCTATTCTTTGAAAGATTGTTCTCATGTTCATCATGTGTTATATATGTCATTTCATAGGTCATTAAAGACCCGATAAGTTCTTCAAGCAGAAAATTATTTAAGTCCTTTGCTTCTTGTATTGCTTTTACTTTTGGATCCCAACTTTTTGGAAGGGATCTTAGTATTTTATTTACAAGTTTAAAGTTAGAAAAACTTTTATCAAGTACTTTTAAATCATTAACGATATTCATAAAACGAGTGTACATATCTCCAATAGTCTCGCTTGGTTTTATTCGAAACAACTCATAACTATGCACCAAGAGATTAATTTTTTACTCTTTAACTATACTATAAGCCTTTGTGTGTGACTTCGAGTGTGTGCCAAATATTATGTGCAGTTTCACATATAGAAACCCGATTAAATTCATTTTTATCTAGATCACAAAACAAAGCGTTCATCGCTTTAGCATTCAAAGATAAAGTCTTCTTCTCCAAATCATTCTATTCGTTCATTAGTTTAAAAGACATTTGAAAATCACTTTCAACCATATTCTATAACTCGAAATTCATATAAATCAGAAAAATCCTCATACTAGTTTTCCAAAATGTGTAGTCCATCCCATTGAACATATGACGATGAGTGATAGAATGACCCTCTAGATTGCCGACAAAAGCCATCTCTCTTGGATGTTAAACCAAACAAAGATAAACTTGGCTCTGATACTAATTGTTAGGACTGCTTCCGCATTACGAGGGGGGAGGGGGTGGGGGTGAATTAGCGCTTACGATAAAAACATCAGTTTTAAAAAATTACATTCGATGCAAAATCATATCGAAAATGTGCTTAACTTGGAGTAAGTGAATTAAGCAATTAATTCAGACAATAATAGTAATGAAAAATAGAATGTAAATATAAACTGAGTTTATAGTGATTCGATCGTAGCGACCTAATCCACTCTCGATTCTTCTTCCGTCGAGGTCATCGGCATTCACTAATAGTCTTCTTTAAATGAGCGAAGACCAAGTACCCTCTTACAACTCTTTCTTCTTTTCACAGGTTTAGGAGACAACCTTTACAAGCCGCACACCTCTCTTAGAATGATCACAAATCTTAAGGAGGAGGAGGAGGACTTTAACACTTTTTCAAAACTTTTACAGCTCAAAATCTCAAGACTTTTGTTCATTTTTTGTGATCTTTAATGTAAGAAAGAGTGGGATATTTATATACCTCAAATGACTTCAAAAAAAAAGTCAAAAAGTGTCTCATCTCGGGTTTTTGGGGTACTAACGATACCACCGCTAGTATTGGGTGGTACCACCGCTAGTACTAGGTAGTACCACCACTTGCTCCCTTGACAACTCGCGGTATTATCGCTAGTCTAAGCAATACAATTGTTTGACAGAGCCTCAGAGATTGGGCTCTGATAGTACCACCGCTTGACAGCATTAACTACTGACGGTACCACCACCTGAGCGGTTTCACCGCTAGTCTTTAGCCGTTAGCGATTTCACTGCCAGACCTAGCAGTCCCACCGCTAGTCTCTACTACAAGTAATGAAATGGGCTAACCAGTAGGCCCAATTCAGTTCTAATTAGGGCCTAATTGACCCCTAATTGAGTTAGTAGGGTTACACTCAAACCTAACTCAAATTAAGATCTAACTATGACGATTAAGACTTAAATAATTACAAATCAAAAAGCTAAGTTGTCCAACACATCATTTGTTCATTCGAACTCCCGGTGAACTTCCGATGTATCGTCTGAACCTTCAGTGTATTGCTCAATCTATCGGCATATTGACTCCCGCAACATCCGATCTTGGCACAATGTCCGATTCTTCTGACCCGATGCTCATTTTCTGATTCCAGCCCAACATCTGATTCTTCTGTTTTAATTATTTTATCTTTTTATGATCGTAGTTTATTCTGTAATACTTTTCTAAAAATATGGATTAGATTATAAACTCATCAATTGATTTCATAATCAAAATACGATATTCAACAAAAACTTATCTCATAAACGATTTGCCAAATAGCAAAAATGGAAAGAAATTGCTTGGTTGAGCCTGTTTGGATGTGTTCTTGAAAAACTATTCTCAAGAAATAAGAAATATAAATATTCTTGATAATGGAATAATAGATTACACAATATTTGGATCTGTGTGGATTCTTTTTCATTGACTAATATTCTCCTAGGCATTCCAATGCCTAAATAATTTGTGCAATTAGTGTTTAACTTTTAAGATCATATCATCAATTTAGAGTTGATAATAGAGAATCCGTTTAATTGCTAGGTATACTAGAATTTAAGACATGTTCCTCCGAATTTACTACACCATGCATCTATTATTAATATTAATGAACTTTTTGATAAAAATAATAAAAAAATAAGATACTATATCATCTTTTTTGTGCATCGAAATCATTATAAGCATGGGAAACCTAACCCTTTGTAAGTGTACCTAAAGAAGCATAGATGTGACATTGGACTAGTAATGTCAATTTGCTGAACCTCTCCGCTTCTCAATCAAAATCAAAATGTGAGAGACCTTGTTATTAATTTTATATGAGTGTATTAAGATGGAGGAACAATAACACCAACAATGTCATGCCCACATCGGGGAGAGAGCAACGCACAAGCACGCGTTCCAATCACCCTTTATCTGCTCAATTTTACATTTGCATCGTGAAAAAAGGAAGAGAGAGAATTTAAGATCTCACGATAAGACCTTAGAATATTTATGATATTATAAGAAATATGAGACACCATCTCAGAAAAATAAAATCTAGATTACCTTTAAAAAAATCAAAATTTTTTCAAGGAAACCAACTTTATTTTTTTATTATTTTATAAATTATAATTTTTAAATAAATAGGATATCTCTCCCATAATTAAGTTATGGGTTCTAAAATATTATAAAAGAGATGGATAGGGTTGAACAAAGGTCTTGATGGGATAAGAGGAATAATAAAAAAATATTTTTTTTATTTTAATTTTAAATATTATTGTATAACTTTAGATATCTAAATTAATTTTGTTTTTAAAAATTCAGACGGTCTAATTTGTGAATCTAATTCAGACGGCCGAATCGTCGATTTATTTGATCGATTGGGATCAAAATTTATAATGATATTA